TGGGGGGGAAAGTAAACATTTGTAAAAGTTTTTTTTTTTTTCAAAAATTCTCAATAAAAAAAAAAAGAATGCGTGCTTCAATGATAAAGGTTGTTCAGAACTTGCAATACTAGCCATTGACTAGTTTTCTGAACCTGGCTGCCAATAAACGTCTCCTTGAATCCCCCCCCCTCAAAAAAAAGTGACTTAGGATCATTTTTCACATTTAACGACCGTTGCAGCACCCCCATGGTCGCATGATCAAAATTCAGATGCTTGACCACTGACTCATATTTATGATGGTTGCACTGGTCTCAAGTCATGGGATCACCTTTTGCGATCTGACAAGCAAAGACCATGGGCAAACCAGATTCACTTAACAACCCTGTGTTACTAATGTAACAACCGCAGCGATTCACTTAACTATGGCAAGAAAGGTTGTAAAATGAGGCAAAAAAAATCACTTAAATGTTTCACTTAGCAACATACATTTTGGGCTCAATTGCGGTTGTAAGTCGAGAGATATCTGCATTTGTATTAAAATAAGTATGCATTGTTAACATCTTATTTATACAGCAGTGGGGGGGGGGGCTAGTGCTGAAAACACTTGGAAGGTTGAGGGTTCAATCCTAGGTAGCTAGAGATGTTTCTTTACTAGGGCGCAAAGAAAAAATATCTACTGGGTCCATTCAGTCGCTCCAACTCTCTCAAATTAAGGGATTACAGGATCACAACAAATGAGTTTTTACAATCTATTTATCAGGGAACACCCAAATGGCATCTTTTTCTTCAAATAGTGGACAACCATGAATAACAATCAGAATTTATTACCTAAACTACCAGCTTCTGCCTAATTGCTTAAATGGGACTACTATAAGGAATTGTAGGGAAAAAAATCTCATCAGATTCATTTAAGGCAGATAAAGTAATCCTAATATTGGGCCTGCCATGATTCGGGCGGCAATAATTTATATCAGAGTGAACAAAAGAAAATTGTGTTTTCTATCAAAATAAATTAAAACCAAAAAAAATCAATGCACATTTGTTCCAAAGACCAATTGAGTTCATTGATGCTTATGGGTATGTATGTTTCCTGAAATTTTCTTCCAATTATGAAGTTCTACTGTGCAGAACTATTCTGCTCCACTGAATGGCACAGGGGCATCTGAGTAACGATTTAGGAAGTAAAGCAGATTTCCTAAGAATATGGAATCCTTCCGTCTGGACTCAAATCTGGAACTTGCAATCAAGCGAGCATAAATAAAGGACAGAAAAGTGCTTTCCTATATTTGAATGAATGGGATAACAGAAGTTCCTTGAGTGACATTGCGTTATCTGGGCTTCATCAGGCATGTGAAAAAATTAATTTTAATTGCCATCTTGACAAACTCTCTGATTTGGCTGCCTTTATCAAGCCTCTATTTTTCACTTTTTTTCTGCTGTCCATTTGGGTACATTCCCAGGCCCAGGGGCTCTGCAGCAGCAGAAAGCAAAATATAAAAAGGCGTTGTTTGGTGTAACTCCATGCTACCCGTATTCAGCGGGCAAAAGGGTACGCTAAGTCAGTGTTTCTCAACCTTGGCCACTTGAAGATGTCCGGACTTCAACTCCCAGAATTCCCCAGCCAGCATTCGCTGGCTGGGGAATTCTGG